CCAGTAACCCTAAGCAATATATAAAACGTGACTGGAATAAAAACAGAATGGAAACACATGAGGGGAAATAAAGTTTAAAAAATTGATTTCCAAAAATGTTCAATTTAGCCCCTGTCCAAATTAATTTGGAATGTCATAGGTCTTCATTCAGTTTTTAGATGAATAATTTAAGTGTTCTTCCGTCAAAAGCCTTATTTTGTAGGACTCAAATTCTGTCATTCTAAATGTTAAAAGTGCTCATGGATTATTATTTTTTGCACTTCTTCACCTTTTTTGGAGGCTGCAATCCGCAAAATCTTCCTAAACATAAAAAATGTCAATATTTACTATCTACTGCAGTGGTACAATTCTAAAAGGGTTTGGTTTATGGATCTTTGACTTTTTTTTTTACAATAACACAATTGTGCATGATTTGAGAATATTGCATATTAATGGCAAAATGTCTCATAGACTCTAGCCTAGAATTTGGAACTGCTAGAATACAGTTTAGACTGCTAGCATATTTAGACTAAGGCCAGACTCACAAGTGTGAAGTAAGCAAATTACACGTTCCTGTAAAAACTGATGTCATGTAATATGCAAACACCGAGGAGCATGTGTTTTATTCTGTTCACATTCCTATCCAGAGAGCTCATATTTCTGACAAACATTTCACTAAATGTTCCACCAGTGGTGATCGGAGACTTGTTTATTGGCGTTAGCATGCCATTAAAGAAAGATCTGCACCAACGGAGATTCACCAAGCTGTCTGCAACGTATCAACCACGTATTATGGTTTGCCAGGTGCTTGAAAATTTCTGTATGCAACAAGAAAAGTAAACCTCTGGTGGACAACCCTATGTGACTTGTGCTCTGCATTTGGCTTCTCTCTAGCAAGTGTTATGCCAATTGATTATCACTTGATTTTTGGCCAGTTTATAATTAAGATCCATGGACTCTTGTTAAATACGTTGCTCTTAAGAAATGGCCATTTTAAAGACAGATAAGCCCAATTCTACATGTGATAACCGATTGTGAGAATGGAGTGGGTGCATTAGAGCTGTAAGAGTAGGTAAAGTGTATGCACCCCATCTGAAATTCTGTAGCTGCCTCCTCCAGAATTCTGGGATTGGAGTTTAGTACGGTTCAGGACCTCTGGTTGAGCATTTTCAAGGCCCCTCCCCAAACTACAAACCCCAGATTTCTACAGGAGGCAGCTACAGAATTTCACACGGGATGCATGCACTTTGCCTACTCTTACAGCTCTAGTGTGATACCAGACTGTGCTCATTATCACACACCCCAATGGCTACAACATCCTATTGTCCACAAGTTAGGAATGCATATCTATGGAGGGAAACCTGTTCCATGCGTGCAGAATACCCCACGATTTAAATTTTCAACAACCCATGCATCAAGTTTCTCTCCTCTAGATACATTTCTCCAACACATGGATAGAGGGATGGCAGGGGATGCAAGGATGGAACCAACACTCTTCATACCTACAAGGATTGCCTCTCCGTGTGCAATTATAACTATATAAAGGTTGAGTAGCCCCCGTCTGAAATATCTGAGATGAAAAGTATTTTGGATTTTTGCATGGAATGATTTTGGAAAAATTGCATATATTTAATGTGGTATCTTGGTGATGGGATCCCAGTCTATGCACAAAATCCATTTATATTTTATAATATACTTTATACAAATAGACTGAAGGTAATTTTGTAGACAATATTTCAACTTATTTTGTAAATGAGATTAATTTTTCATACACTGAACTATGAAAAAGCAAAGGTGTGACTACCTTAGGCACCCATGCTGGTATAATTTTGAATTTTAGAGTCTTTTGGATTTTGAAATTCCAAATCAAGGAAACTTAACCTGTTATAGGGATAAAGTGGTTCATGAGTTGGAACATTAGTGCTGGCAAATGACTGTCATGGCAATGAAATTCTCTTCTACATCTCATGACTGCCATATTTGGATAAGGAAAGGAATTGCTCACGTTAGATAAGCCAGTGGGCTCCAGGAAGGATGCAATTTGGCTCATTGGTTTCATCAGTCCACATTTTGTAATCAGAGTTGCAATTTTCTTATCACAATTTCTTAAGGTTTTAATGTTGGCTAAATACTAAATTTTGAATGAAGTACTTTGGACCAATCTAGACGTTCATACATAACGCGCACTGACCAATCATGTTTTCTCCTCCTTAATGACAGCCAGTGTGTGTGCACATGTGAAACAAACTCTAAATTTTTGGACAACAACATACTGAAAGAAGAGCAAATTCTCTCTTTTGTTCGAAGCAAGAACTTTTTTGATCAATGTTTCTCAAACTCTGCTCCTCCAAATGTTTTGGACTTCAGCTCCCACAATTCCTAACAGCTGGTAAGCTGGCTGAGATTTCTGAGAGCTGAAGCCCAAAACACCTGGAGGAGCACAGTTTGAGAAACAATGCTTTAGAGAATAGGTTCTAGTTGGTGTTACTGAGACCTTATATGTAAACATAGCACCTAAATGCATGGACGGAGAAGAGATTACTCTGATCAAACTGGAAAGAAAGACGCCTCTCCTCTTAACTGATTGTGTTCCAAAAATGAATCTGCCCAATGTGTAATTAAATAGAGGGAAACCTGATAAATAAAAACTATTCTGAATTATATAAGAGGTACACTTTGTTATATTTGCAATGATTAACCAGGCATCTATGAAAAATTCAAAAGCAGGCATATTTTCTCAGATCCTTAAGGTAATAGCCATTAGCAGCCGTGATAGCTTCATCTGCTGGAAGTCTATCTCATCCTTACTTCAAAGCTAGTCAAGTTGGCAGCAAGCACTTCATTGGGTTCCCTAGTTTAACAATGTTCTGTGTGAAGAACTACTTCCTTTTATTTGCCCTGAATCTTCCCACTTTCAAGATCTGCTGGATGACTCTGGGTTTTAGTATTAAGACAGCAGATATGAGATACCTTCCTGTCCATTGTCTCCACACCATATGTAACTAGATATACTTCTATGATGTCTCCCTTACTAACTTTTCTTCCTACACCAAGCAACCCTAAATGTTGTAACCTTTTCACAGTGGAGAGTGGATCTCACACCTTGATCATCTTGGTTCTCTTTTCTGCATGTTTTGAACTCTGCATTAGCTTTTTGAAGGTGCACTAACTAGAATGCTGCATGGTATTATACACATACATGCACCAGTGTTTTGTACTGGTAGTTTTATTTTCAACTACTTCCCTCATGTTCCCCAACATGGGATATGCTTTTTTCACAGAAGCTGGAAAAATGGGTCAACCTTTCCATTGGGGTTTTAACTACAAATCTTCACTCCCTTTCTTCATCATTCACTGTCAGTTCAGACCCATCTGCATAAATGTGAAATTAGGATTTTCTGCCCCAATATAATCACTTTTCACTTTTTCCACTTACTTAACTGTGAGTGGAAATGTATAATTTTAATGTTCAGATTAGAGAGAATCTCCTTTGGAGTTCTTTGTACTGTAGTCCCTTTTCTAACCCCTCTAAATAACATGAATGCATCAGAAAATTTGTTAACAAGTTAAAAAACTCCAGAATGATAAAAGTCCGTTTAACATCCCTCTGTTTCAAGTACTGACCATACACCTTGACTCTATGTTGTCTTCTTTAACTAGCAGTTTCAAGTTCATACAAAGCTTTTCTTCTGTATGTTATGTATCAAGTGAGCATCTAGAATGGTCCCAACATACCTCTTGCAGAATTCTATTTATGGATTGATTTGCTAAAAGTGTAGTAATTATTATGGGTGCTAACAGTTGCTATCCAGCAATAATTACAGGTGCTAATATTCACTTTTTAATCCTCACATGTAAGAATTTTAAAAATCAACATTTATGTCCTGCTGAGTGAGATTTTGTTTTCAATGACATTTCAGGATTTTAAAAATAAAAATTGTGGTAAGAGAGTTTGTAAAAACATGTGTTCTTCAATTAAATAATATTTTGGTGCAAAAAGTATTTGTTATTGCTGTTGTTGCAGACAAAAAAAAGCCCTTGTATTTGCACTTTCATTCAGGAAAAAATATTATGGCGCCCGACAAATTGATATTTATTTTTCATACTCCCTGGCCACAATACATGAAAATTATTAAGGGACTAAAACTTCTTGATCCAGCACAAAAGATTTTATACATGGTTATGTGACTAGACCATCAGCAAGTGCATGAATAAAATCTCGTACTCTGTACTGCTTTATATGACAACAGGGGAAATAACCTAAGAAAACTGATCGTAACAATAATGCATCATTACAGCCAAACTGGGGCCGTGACCTTTAGTTTACTGATTAGATAGATTAATAGATTAATAAATTTTAAAATGCCTTTGACAGATGTGCAGAACAACCCTAGGAAGTTGTGTTGTTTCCAAAGGGCTTACCGCAAGTAAGGGGACGGACGGTTGCAGTAAAAGGAAAAAAAAATCATTTATTGATTGAACTACACATTTATTTTTATTTTTCAAATATTTTTGTTTTACAAAGCTTGAAAAAATTCCTTTTTTACTCCAGTTTCCATATGTCGGGGGGGGGGGGGGGGGGAGAGTTGGAGGACGTGTTATCCAAACAGCTCTGTTTTCTAAGCCCTAGTTTTTAACATCACCATACAAATTTCAGAGAGATGGCATTGTATTAAAAGAGAGTTGGAGGACGTGTTATCCAAACAGCTCTGTTTTCTAAGCCCTAGTTTTTAACATCACCATACAAATTTCAGAGAGATGGCATTGTATTAAAAGCATTTCCATCTTAAGCACACAACCTATTTAGCTCAGAACAGTCTACAATAAGAATGGCTTTGCAAAGATTCAGGGAGGGTTTTTCTCAGTCAGCCTAAAGATGTGTCAGACACTAAACCTGGGACATTTTAAGATGAGCACCTACTATGCTATGTACATGCATCATCTTAAAAATGAAGAAAATATGGCTTTTTAAATTCAAATATACAGTTCAGGTCATATGCAAATTTACCAGAATGGTCAGACACTAAACCTGGGACATTTTAAGATGAGCACCTACTATGCTATGTACATGCATCATCTTAAAAATGAAGAAAATATGGCTTTTTAAATTCAAATATACAGTTCAGGTCATATGCAAATTTACCAGAATGGCAGCACTAACTAAACTAATCCAGTGCAAACACTTCTTAGTCAAGTTGTTCAACGTAAAACATGGTTTGGTCCATGACTCTATTTCCTATGGAATGATTAGCTATAACTGTGTTCAGACTATCAACTGAGAACTCCAATTTTTGTGTGTATCATATTTAATGTGAACAAGGCATCAACATACATGGTGCCTGAGAAGAACAAACAAGGCTTACTTTCTGTCACGCTTTCTAAACTTGCATATGCCTCTGTCAGGATTCTCAAGCTTTATGAACCATTTTAAAATGGCAGAAAGGTCAAAAGTAGCCATTAGAAACAAATTCCCTACTAATAATGCACAATTTTTGCTATTGCTTGTGCGAATATAGCTGCCTTTAGAAAACACCTATGCCCATTTCTTTTCAGTGCTCACAACTTCTGCTCTGGAAGTGTATAAAGAAAATTTCCTTTTCCTATAAAGGCCTCTATTTTAGTGGCATCATCAGTGCTACATAACAGATCCAAATTCAAAAAGAAAGTGCTACATTTTTAAAAGATTGTTATCCGCGGTTCTGTTTCATATTTTCCAATTTTCAAAAGGTTTTCTTTCTTTTCTTTTTTTTTTAAGGACAGTAAAAAGAAATAGAAAGAAAATAGGAAAATGATTACTTAAAATGTTGGCTTCTTCACAAGAAATTACACATGCTTAGCATAAGATTCAACAAAGCAGCGGCCCTTTAAAAATTATAATTTAAATTGATATGTATCTCCCCCTGCAATGCAAATAATCTCAGGTTACTACTGGGTAAAATTAGAATTGGATACCCAACAAAAAATTTTAAAAAATCTAAAACAGAAAAAAAATCTTCTTTTAAAAAAAAGTACCTGCACATGCCAAAATTAAAAAAAAAATACAAAACAACCGAATAAATACAGAAATTATTGCACAGTTAAAAGGCTTCACAATTTTTACTGCCTTAACCAATCCTCAGGTTTAATAGAACTTTGTAGACACAGGTTATATTTAAGTGCCAAATTCTGGCACCTGCCATAGTTATGCTAAGTTATGTTTATGGAGGCAAGTTAGGTCAGCTTTTCCTTAGTTGGCAATAGTTAAAACTGTACAACTTAAATGTTACCTAGACCCCAGATTTTAACCCAGAAGGGGCCTTAGCTTCTTTCTGCCTGCTCAATTTTGACATCATTTGTCAGCAAATGTTCACCATGCCACTTTTTCATGTGTTTCTCCAGAGTGCTGTAAACACTAAAGGGCATCTGGCAAATGTCGCAGCGGTAGACCTCCTTCCCTAGCTGGCCATGTGTTTTCATATGACGTGTCAGCTTACTGCTCTGGGCACATGCATAGTTGCAGAGCTCACATTTGTAAGGCCGCTCTCCTGTGTGGCTCCGGCGATGCACTGTTAAGTTACTGCAGTTCTTAAAGACTTTGCCACAGTACTCGCATGTATCGCTCCGCCGTCCTTCCTTTGAACTGGGTCGACCGGGGCCAGGTCCACTGATATGGGGCGTGCTGCCTCCGCTCGCCGTCCCACTGCGCCCTGAGAGACCGCCATCTAGCATATCACCTGGTGGAGTGGAGAAACGCAAGCTTCCGTTCTCTGAAGAATGCTCAGAAGAAGTTGCAAAGGGGGATTGTCGGGAATCTGTGAATCCGAGAAATGGATCCTTCATGAAGTGCCTTGATGCTGCATAACCTACCAGCCACTGCGAGTAAACATTTTCAGAAGGTATTATTGTTGCTGGTGGCAAGTCCAGATCTTTTTCTATCTTTATTCTTTTTGATGAGTTATTTAAACTGGGGCTTGTGATAGGGGTGGGCTTGCGGGGGAACAGGCTCGGAAAGGGCTCACCTGGACCAAAGTTTCTACCGTTGACAGTCCCTTCCTCAGTACGGTCAAGTTCTCCAGCAACTGAGTCTTCATCACCTGTGTCTCTCTGACAAAGGTCTCGAGGGCAGAGATCTCGCTGATCTGAAGACCTCTTCATGAAGCCACCTCTTTTCTGCTTTTCAGCTAGCATGTCGCTGTATTGTTGGATGGTACCAAGGCTTACATTCTCTATCACTTTTCCTAGGACAAGGGACTTTTCATCTGGCAATGACTTAGAACCATTCTCTCGATTACGACTTAGTTCTGAGTCCATACTAAAGCTAGACTCGGGTCTACTTTCATTTTCCAGCTCCTCCTCCTCTTCTTCTTCCTCTTCCTCTTCTTCGTTATCATGGCCTAGAGAAGGATCACTCTCATTCCTGAAGTCTGCCTCACTAGACTTTAGTCCCTCTCCAGTGAGTTCACTTGTGCCAGGCTCAGGGGAACTTGTAGCAGACAGGCCATCATCTGACCTTCCCGTCATAGACCCAGCTTTGTGCATATGTGTTTTCATATGGCGTTTTAACTTGCTGGCTTGGGAACAAGCATGATCACAGAGCTGGCATTTATAGGGCTTCTCTCCTGTGTGGCTTCGCCGGTGGACGATGAGATTGCTCTGGAACTTAAATGTTTTCCCACAAAATTCACAGGACTTACTTTTAGCCTGAGGCTGGGGAGGCGTAGTGCTGCTCGGGGGCATCGGTGGCAAGGGTGGGGTGCTCAAAAAAGGAGATTTAGGACTTGGCTGGAAAGGATTCAACAAGCGATGCATAGGGTTGTTGCGATTAGGAGAGACTGGTGGAGGTGTGGAGTTGTTCCCCGCCAGTTCTCGAAGCCTTCTGGAAAAATCCATCGCTGGCGACTCAATTGCCATGGGGTTTAAACGCATGACTCTGTCAAAGGCACTGGGATGCTGGGCAACTAACCCCATTTCTTCGGCACTAAGGCGATGCGGATCCAGATGATGACGAGGTGGTGGGCTGAAGAGGGGAGGCGTGTTGGGGAGTCGACCTTCACCAAAGCCAGGATGATCACGCAGGATGGGACCAGTCATTCGCAAGAGACTAAAAGGGTTGTTGTCGCCAAGGAAATTCATCAGCGGGGACTGTGCAACAGTCTCGGGTCCCAGAGGAGGAGGGATGGTGATGCGTGGAGTAAGGGAGCTGTTTGAAGGGCTTGTTTCCAGGTAGATGCGGAATCCATGTGTGTTCTGGGCATGCTGAAGCAAGAACCAAGCGCTATTAAAAGGGTGCTTGCATGTTGTGCAAATATAGCTTGAAGGCTCATCTTTACCTACATAAGGGGAAGAAAAAAGGAAAAAGGGGAAGAGAAAGGGGGAAAACAATCAGAAATGTAACAAAAGAAGACAGCTTTTAAATGCACATTTTCCCCAAACTCTTATTCCTTCTATTTATTTTAAGTCTTTTGTTACATACAGAAAATACAGCTTACTCACCAATTTACAATCTAATAAATCATATTAAAGTATAACATATTAAATCTACATTATGGATTTATATGTTATATAATATTATATACTATATTGAAGTATAGCATATGAATCAAATTATAGCTTATGTGAGTCAAACAAGTCTCTTCCAGTAGTAGGTGAAATAGTTTTAACTTATTACATAAATAGTCATTCAAATCCCACAGCAGTCATCAACAATAATCAATACCCATTTTATAGTTTAAGTCACTGAAGTCTTGAAAGGTAACTAAGAATGTATTTAAAACACTAATTAAAATTAAGCAGACTCGATGACTTGGGATTTAACCTACCTTGTAGGGTTGTTGTGAGTGGAAAGAAAATTATATATATTACTTTGAACTCCTTAGGAGAAGAATGAGATTTTTTTAATGAACTAAATAAGGTTAACGGCCTTCTGAGATGCTGAAGTATATAACTTGTTTATTAAGCAATAACTATCCATTAAGGATTAGCTTTTTTCCTTTTCCATATTACTAAACACACACCAGAAACAAAAGAGCCTCAAAGTACTCCAAACCCTTGCTCTTTCTCAAAACTAATTAATATATTTGTTCGGTTGTGCAACATTTCTTAGTTGCAAAGCATGAATCTCCTCTTCTGAACCAAGTAGATTCATAGGTTTCACCAAGAGCACTCTAATAAGGTCTCTCATGTTCCTGTATAGTATTCTATTAGGAATATATTTGAACGAGGTTCCAAGAGAAAATACCAAAACAACAGTCCATCAGAACAGCTCAAATGTTTTCCTTTCTTGTTTATCTTTCCAATCTACCTGATCTCCACCCCCCCTCAAAACTTGAAAACCAGTCTTGATTTGGAATTTTATAGGATGCAAATGCAGAAAATGATTGTGAGTTTGCTAACTAAAAATGCTGTTCTTGGGAACACTATTGAATTGATAAAATGCCACCCATGGACATGCAATAATTTTAAAAGTGGACATTCCACTGTCACACTGCTGGTTTTTGTTTGTTTGTTTGTTTGGTGCCTTCAAGTCATTCTGTTTATGCTGACCTTATAATGGGTTTGCTTGGTAAGATTTGTTCACAGGAGATTTGTCCTTGCCTTCCACTGAGGCTAATAGCTGAGAATAATAGGTTATTCAGTAGGTTTTCATGGCTGAGTGAGGATTTAAACTCAGTTCTTTTTACATGATCGCAAGTATATAAATATATAAAATAGGTATAAAATCAAGCATTTACTCATAACTGATCAACAATTTTCAAGGTTTGCTAAACAGGCTGGTTTTCCTTTTTATGAAGTACAGCTGAAGCATCTTCTGCAGAGTCCTCTGTAAACATTGCCCAACAGATTCATGCAAATGTCTAAAAGAGCTAGTAGGTAACTTTCAGAAAACTTAGTTGTCAATTTTTTTCTGGAACCTAACATTGAGCTAAGAAGACCCACAGTTTAAGAAGAAGTGCTCTAGAGTCATGCCCCAATGTCCAAACAACATGTTTGTTCTCAAGGTCAACTGTGCCTATATATAAAGAAGATGGTCTGGTGTACAGACCAGATCTTAGTGTACACATGAACTTGATAAACAAAACAGATACCTACCGACCCACACAAGGAATTACAAGTGGACAAAGAAAGTTCCAAGCACAACTGTAACTTTTTGGAACCACAACTTCCACAGCATTTAGCCAATATGGCTGTGGCAAGCAATGCCCAGTGTCAACAAGCATTTAGTCACACATTACATACTTCAACAATTCATGTCAGAACTTAATATCCCTAGGAAAAAAATAGCATTATTTCCACCTCTTTTCTCAAACTTTTTTTGCAGGGCTATTTGCAACACAACTATGATGTACCAAGCCATACAGTACAACGATGACTGTACCAAACTATGAATATTACTCCGGAATATAATTAGGTGTACAGCTAAAAGCTCTGTAGCAGCAACCCATACCAATGTTATAAGATATTAGAAGTGTTCCTTAATAGCAATTGAGGCTTTTGGCAGCGAGAAGGTGTTTTATGTCACTTTTGAAGATGATTCAACATTTAGTGCTCCTATCTATTATTTCCTATAGATAATTTTTTCCTCTTTCTCGAAAATAAATGCGACAAAAAGTCTAGACCTTTTATGTTCCTTACACAACCCTATGTGTCATATAGAAAGTGACAGGAATCATTGAGGCAGGCTAAAATATATAGCATATTCTGTCAAAACCTTTTTTTAACAATATGTTTTACCTCAGTTCACCCTTGAATGGACTTTAATAAAGCCCCTCTTATATTCGAAGGGTGATGTAACAGCAACTGAAGAGCAGAAACGTACAAGGTCACAAAGCTCCAAATTAAAAAGTGTTCAGCACCCTTTTCCTCGTTCTTCTTTCTGCACTCTAATTAATTGATTGATGATTGAATCTTCCCTTTTAAGGGAGAACATTTTATTTATCTGTTTCCCCTCAATATTCTCACATCCGCCTCGGAACACACTTAATAGCAGAAAAAGGTTCACCTCAAGAAAAGCAGACAGATATAAAGAGTGTTATGAGCTAAGCTCCAACTAATGACTACTTTAAAAATAAAAATTAGCCTTAAACTGGCAGCTAATTAATGCACTGGCATTTGTTTCATGCAGCTAAGATGCTTTGGTATGTTTTTTTTAATGCTACATACAAAATATTTCACCCCTGTGAAAATGCATGCAAGAGAATGAAGCCATTTCATTTCTCCTTCCCTAACTCCTTTCATAACCAGCTTATTAGTGTGTATTACTGGCATAAGATACAGATAGGATGAATTATCGGTCATAACAGCGGCAGTTCTTTCCTTTCTCTTGTTTTTTGTTTCGCTTTCATGCCCCTAAACTCTTCTGTTCACAATGGCAAAACTGACTGCAGGCTACTCAGCTACCAAGGCTTTGACAGTTTCACTTATATATATATTTTCTCCTTCTTCTTCTCCCTGCTTCGGCTTTTGCAGCCCTCAAAGCCTTTCCCCCTAGATTCCCCCTTTTATTTTTTTATACACTTAAATAAAAAAAATAAAATAAAATGTTCATTTCCATATTATCACTTCATGGTTATCTTGCCTCCAAGTTGCCCCAAGCAGCGTGAATGCTCACTTTTAAGAACAAAACAATGTCAAAAAGTCTTTGAAGAACCACTTCGAACATTTTCATAGGCTAAAACTTGCCAAGTGTTATTTTTTCCAAGCCCTGGGAAGGTCCAAGAGGGCTATAAAGTGGTTCCCATGAATTAAAAATACAGTTTTCTGAAAGGATACGTTACTTTGTTTAACGTGGCTGTATCCAGTATGAATTAAATGGGGAAAAGAGCAAGTCTAAGGGTACATCACCACTGCAGAAGTAATGGAGTTTGACATCATTTTAACTGCTATAACTCAGTGCAATGGAATCCTGGAACTTGTAGTTGGGTGAGGTATCCATACCTAAAGACTTGTAAAACTACAACTTCCAGAGCCAGCATCCCTTACCTGCAATTTCGTGGAGCCCCCGGTGGCGCAATGAGTTAAAACCTTGTGCCGGCAGGATTGCTGACCGACAGATCAGTGGTTCGAATCTGGGGAGAGCAGGTTGAGTCCCTCTGTCAGACCCCGCTCCCCATATGGGGACACAAGAGAAACCTCCCACAAGGATGGTAAAACATCAAAACATCTGGGCGTCCCCTGGGCAACATCTTTGCAGATGGCCAATTCTCTCACACCAGAAGAGCCTTGCAGTTTCTCAAGTCGCTCCTGGCACACAAGCAAACAAACAAAACACCACCACCACCACCACCACCCCCCCCCCCCCGGCCACCCTGCAATTCCAAAATACTCCAAAATCCAGAATTATCCACACAGGTGACTGAGATCGTGACACCTTTGCATTCGGTGATTCAATGTACACAAACTTTGATCAAATTAATTTTTAAATTGTGTATAAAATTATACACAATTGCTCCACCTCAGAGATATCTCATATGCAAATACATGCCGCTATTTAGATATCTGGGGAGAAAAAATCCGAAACCCAGAACACTGAAATATTTTGGATACGGGAAACTCAACCTGTACTTTTTTTTTACAAAAAAAAATCTGTACTTTGTGTTAATCTGTAGATATTTCTATAAGGAATGTATTCTCATAGGAGAGATGTGGAATCCATATTAGAAAGCTGAAACAAAATGAAAACTGACATCTTTTGTGTTTCCTCCTCACCTTCTAAAATTTGCACTAACTGATATTCTTGTTCTTACTCCATCTTTTCCCAAAACCAGGATTCTGAAGGCATCTTACACATTAAAGTAAAGATAATATTTTATAACTCACCAGTGTTAATACTGTGACCAAAAACCTACTGATTCCCTTTAACAGCTACCAGTTATATTAACTGAATATTACTGAAAATCCAATCCTTCTTTGCAATGTATAATGGTAAGAAAGATGTCATAATGATTCAAGGTGACATAGTCAACCGTGGATTGCAATGCTTAGTTTAGTCACTGGTATTTCTCTCCAAGGTCAAAAGGCAGTAAGTATCAGAATGTATTTTTTTAGGACTACAGCTACTGGAGCTTCCTCTGGTCGGCAGGGCCAATGGGGTAAAATGGAACTAGAATCAGAATGTAGTAATAGTGCTTCTTCAACTATAGTTTATTTATTTATTTATTTACTCTATTTATATCTCGCCTTTCTATACCCCGAAGGGGACTCAAGGTGGCTTTACAAATAGCAAGTATTTGGTGCTTTTAGACAACAGACAATTAAATATATTTAAGTTAAAATTTAAAATTAGAGTTAAAATGCCCATTAAAACATATAAACATTACAATCACTAGGACTG